AGGAAGTTCCCAGTGTTCCATCATACCTTCAAAGGGAAAAGAGTGGAGAAGGAAACTTCCTCTCTTTGAAAACTGTGATGTTGATGGGCTAATTTTTTTTTCCTTTTTAGTACCTATAATGATCCCTAAAGTGTGTGAAAACAAGGGCAAACACAGGCACTGCTTGCAAAATGTATCCTTTGCCATTTTCAAGCACAGAATGCTTTTTTCCTGAAACTTCCACTCACTAAATGCTAAGAGCCAGGAAGGGGAGAAAGGAAGTGGAAACCCTCTACCTTCCCACCAATGAGAAAATGCTTATTGGTACCAGGAAAATACTCCTGTCGTCAAACGTTTTTCTTTATGCTTATTGTTAACCCTACACTGAACAGGAGAGAAATGCTACAATTTATGGGTGAATAAACTGTAAATAATATGCCATTTGGAAGGTGGAATCCATAAATGCCAGATCACTTCATGAGACCACTGTGACAGACTTCTATTCTCCAGAAAATACTCCTTAAAAATACATTTGGAATAAAAGCTAAGGAGAGGGGAAGCAAGCTAAGGAGGGAGGGCGGGAGAATAGGAAAGAAAGGGAATAGTGTGTGAGGGAAGCCAACTGGAACCATGCCTCGTGTGTGCGTTGCAGCTGGAGAGCTAAACAATATTTTATTTTTCATGCACCTATATTAACCTTAAGTGCTGGTGCCATTAGCATCTATTTTCTGGGGGACATGGTTTCCTTTTCTATGTATTGATCTTCAAAGTAATCTATGAAGAGAAACAGAAGAGAAAAATGAAATTTTTTCCCTAGGTTTTTCTTTTAACTTTGGAGATAAGCTAATTCAGCTACTCAGAATATAGATCCTTGCAGGGACATTTAAGATCATCCCACTATAATCTGGTTGATTGGGTTTGCTGGTGCCAGGTACCTTCAGTGGTATAAAGCAAATATTTCCCAAACACTGCCTTCCTGGGAAGCAGATTGTTTCCACTGTGCAATGTGTAAAGTTTTTACTCTGGCCAAGAGCTTGAAGCCAAATGGGGGTGTGCCAGATGAGAGGAAAGGGAACAACTGTGGTGACTGCTATTACAGCAGCGAACCCTTCACCACATCTGGGCCAGTGAGATGAAGAAAGCGGAAACCCCATGTATTCCTCACTAAGACAAGTATGTGTCTCTTCGAGAAAACCTTGTTATTGGTTAAAAACGTGCCACACCTTAGGAACATGTCAGCTTCAATAATCACAGACACCTCTTAGCTAGTTTTTCAAGTCAAAGAAAAGGTACCTGCAGAAGTTATCATTTTTAGAGTGCTTTTTTTTTTAAATTTGGAGGATTTTAATCTTTAGGCCTCTGACACAATCCTGGTTAAAATTTATATCTAATCTGAATATGAGTTTCATATGCCTTATGCCTGGGTTGCGTTCATTAGTATAAACTACTGTTAAGGAAATTACCCCAAGACAACTGATTGATCAAATGGCTGATAAAGTATTGCTTCTCCAAAATCCTATCGAGTATAGGTAGGGGGGAAGCCCTCAAATGCCACTATCAGGCATTCTGAAATTCAGTCCCTCTCTTGAGCGCTCCGGAGACGTGCTTCAGATAGCGAACAGTCAGTCTGAGGGACTCTAGCTCTAGAGAACAAAGGACAAATACAGTCAATACATTCCATAACGTTTACATTTCCTTTGCTTCCCCCCACCCCCGCCCCCGCCTTGATTTTCCCTGAGAAGGAGTGACCTGGGCAAAGCATCCTGCTCTCTAAAAGGCACTGTATAGACCTTTTAGAAGCGCAAAGTCCAAGGCCGAGGTGAACTTCAGGTCAGCGCGTCTAACAAATATGAAAATGTCGGCTGGTGAAGGGCGCGCCTTGTGATTTAACAAAGACTGTCAATGTGTAAGATTAATAAGAAACAAAATGCACATGGTGTCACTGTTCGGTCACTTTGAAACTTGGGACAGGGTTGCATTCAAGAGGGAAGGCTGTTCCAAATATATTCAAAATAATTCAAATCAAATTCAAACTAGGCTGCAAAACACTGCCTCCCTCTTACCCTCTCTTTGCCTCGGACTCCCTTTGCTTTCCTTCTCCAGTTGGGATTTGAGGACATGATGAAAAGTTATTTCACTTAATGGGATTTTAAGAACGCTTTGGTTAGGAATATATATTATCCCTGCACATGGAAATGAAGAAATATGCTTACCAGTTTCCCAAGAAAAGGATAACGCTTTCACTGTGCTTGGGACTGGAGCCAGTTGGTGTACGAAGATTAGCATGTTCCCACTCTGCTTGATTTCAGGGCATCCCATCTTTTTTCGGGCAAGATTCTGCCGGTAAACTTCAGTTTATTTATTAATTGAGTTAGTTTCTTCCTGGCTTTACGTTGGTGTCTTGAATCTCATGTGAAGGCAAGAGGTTTTTTTGTTTGTTTGTTTGTTTTTTCAAAAGATTATTTCATTCAGTGGAATGATGCTATGGCTTGCAAAGAGAGATTGTGGAAGGATCAAAAAAGATACTGAGATTGTTTATTACAGCCATAAATCTTGCAGTAAAATGTCAAAATGTCGGTGTGGGAGATAACACTTGGTGGTCCTGGCTCCGTTTGTGTTTATGATAGGAACCACAAAGACAAGTTACAGGCCTTGGGGGGATTCTGTGTAAGCCCATCTTCCTAAAGGAATAGAGCCACACGAAACACAGGCGCAGTTAACTCGTTTAGGTTAACCATATACAAATCAGTGCCTGAGCCTCTTTAATACTTTTAAATAGAAACTGGGTGGAAGGTTCTGAGGCTAAACAACATGAATTTTGTGTTTTAGTGTCTGTAAATAATATTGAACAGACATGGTTAAACCCTAGTCTGATGACACGAGGAGGGAGGCAACATTTCCTTGTCAGGTTTTTTCTTCCCTGAAGCTCAGTGAGCAGTTTTGCTAATTACTTTATGAATGTATATATTATTCATGTTATATAGTATACATATGTAGACGATATTTTTCCTTGCGGTACAGCGATATTGGTTTAGGCAGTTCTATCACAGGCTAGATATTTCCCTTGAGTCTAAAGAGGATGTCTAAAGATTACACTCAGTGTTGATTTCTGTCTGTGGCTTAGGTTTCATTTGTAAAAATTTTTAGGATGCCCCATGTCGATGGACATCTCTCTTCAAATGTGGAAAACCTCTTTGTACCACTTCAGGATGACTGCAGCTAGAAAGCTAACATGATCCCTTTTTTAACCTCTTTTCCTAAATTAGTTTAAAGATTAGTCCCATATAATAGGCTTTATGTGGCTAGGCATTAAAGACTATCCATCAAATGGATATATTCCAGCATTTAGTAACTCATATGAGTAACCCATATAAATGAAGATAGAATTGACATTCCTTTTGAAGTGTCTCCAGGCTTAGGCTATAACTTTCCTTGTCTGCGTTCCAGACTGTTGTGAGAAGGCTGTTTATATTGCTCTTTGAAAAATCAACTAAGGTGCACCAGCTGAAAAATACTTGCTTTGCATGCCAATATGAAAGTATTTTTAGAATGGTGACTATGGTACTTTGCACTGCTTTAATCTAGGCTGAAAAGAGGATCTAGGTGTGTCTATTACTCAGAAAAGGAAAGGGAAAATACACACTGTGAGGAAGGCATCAGTATTTACTTCAAAGATCAACATTAGGTGGAATTAATAAGTAATTTATTTGTTAATAATGGCGTAATTAGTTTACCCATCAAATTTCAATTACCAAATGGCAGGCAACAGCCCTCTCTCTCCTTTCCAAAGCTACTGACATCGTTAATATGCTAATTTTCAGCAATTCAGAAATTATAGATTATCTTTAAATATAACTTTAACGTCAGATACAGCCCGGAAAAGCAACACCCGAAGACAAAACAAAATTCTTAGCGGGAAAAGACCCGTCGACACAATGCCTATGCTATCCTTAGCTTGTTTTTGCTTTGAGATTGTTCTGAAGTAGGAAATTGTTGTTCTCAATGGTGGATTTGGTGAAGGCATCGTCGCTTCTATCTATCCCCACCCTTGGGCCACTTTCTTTCTCACAATCGCACCTACTACATTCAAGCATATTTAATTCTGAATCGACACTTCCATCAAATGAGACGCTATTAGGAAATTCTGGTTTTTCTTAGGGAAATAACCAAATCAATTCTGCTTCTGAAAGGAAAAAAAAAAAAAAAGCTCACCCGCTTCTATTGGAACAGTCTTGTTTCAAATCTAGGGGCCGGTTTCCCTCAGCTGCTTGCCCACCCGCCCTTTTTGGCTCCTGCTTGAGTTCTCAAACAAGGTGCAACGGGCGAGGGTGCGGTGAGCACGATGTGGGGAAGGAATCAGTTGGTGAGAACACTGGTCTGTTGGCCCCATTCGTTTTATTCCGGGGCCAGGATGAAAAACGGAATACCACCCCATCTCGCCTTGGTCCCGACGCCATTCCCTCCCCTAGGCGGCCTCGAACTCTGGAGGACTCCAAGCCAAGCTAGGCTGGGGCCCGAGGTCAGCGCTGGGCCGCGGCCGCCTGGCTGCCCTGAGGCCTAGGCCAGGGCACGCGTAGGGCTCGGTCCCCGGCATGCGAGAGAACCAGAAGCCTGCGGTCCCCGAATTGCCAGCGGGACTCAAAGTTGGGGGGTTGGAGGGCCAAAGCGCGAGCTCCCTCCCTTCGGTTGAAGTTGGACAGCTGCATCCATCACCCGTCCGCGCGCTTCCTGATCCGGGTCCGCGCGCGCGGCGCGCACATTGGCGGGGGCGGGTCACGTGGAGGTACGGGGCGGGATGCGCGCCGGCTGGGACGCGCGCCGGCCGGGACAGAGGGCGCGCGCGCGCGCGCGGGGGGGCGGGAGGAGCGGCGCGAACTTCGGTGGCGTAGACAGCGGAGGGGGGGAGGGGTGGGCGCTTGACAGCGGGGGAGGGGAAGAGAGCGGAGGAAGGGGGGATGGGAAACGAGGCAGGAGGGGGAGGGGCCTCGGCGAGCCCAGAAAAACGACAACGCGAGAAAAATTAGTATTTTTGCACTTCACAAATTAATGACCATGAGCTCGTTTTTGATAAACTCCAACTACATCGAGCCCAAGTTCCCTCCCTTCGAGGAGTACGCGCAGCACAGCGGCCCGGGCGGCGGAGACGGCGGCCCGGGCGGGGGCCCCGGCTATCAGCAGCCCCCAGCGCCCGCGGCCCAGCACCTGCCGCCGCCGCAGCAGCAGCCCCAGCTCTCCCACGCGGGCGGCAGTCGCGAGCCCCCAGCCTCCTACTACGCGCCTCGGGCCGCCCGCGAGTCCTCCTATCCCGCGGCCGCGCTCTACCCCGCGCACGGGGCGGCCGACACCGCCTACCCCTATGGCTACCGCGGTGGCGCCAGTCCGGGGCAGCCGCCGCAGCCCGAGCAGCCCCCGGCGCACGCCAAGGCTCCTGCGCACGGCCTGCACGCGAGCCACGTCCTGCCGCCTCCTCCCCCGCAGCATCGTGCGGCGGCCCCCGCGCCCCCGCGGCGCTGCGAGGCGGCTCCCGCCACCCCGGGCGTCCCGTCAGGGGGCAGCGCCCCCGCGTGCCCGCTGCTCCTGGCAGACAAGAGCCCGCCGGGCCTGAAGGGCAAGGAGCCCGTGGTGTATCCCTGGATGAAGAAGATCCATGTCAGCGCCGGTACGTGGCGCCTCTGGGGAGGCGCGGAATGGTGGGCTGGGGCCGAGCCGGGTTCCAGGGCCGGGGCGGGGGTCAGGGGGAGAGGCCCCTTAGGGGAAGAGGGCCTTGGGAGGGGAGCACCCAACTGGCCCAAGCTACAGTGGGATGTGGGTGTGTGAGCGCCAGCCAGCAGCCTGATTCCAATGTGAGAACCCTTTTGTACCCGGGGTCCCTTTATCTGGAGATTTACGAGACGACAAACTGTTAGGGCAGTAATTATAGCCCCCATAAATTTAATTGCCCTGGCAGAGGCTTCAGGCCATGTGTCTTTGAAGCTTTTCTTCAGCCCCAATGCCCAGCACTATTCTTTATGGCTCTCGGGTGTTTCCCGTTGTCAATAGCCTGTGAAACATTTTCTTTGCCGTTTTATGTATCTTGCGTGAACTTGGTGTCAGGTTATTATATAATGATGATGTCCAATTGCTCTTCCCCACCCCACCTTCTCTTTCCTCCTCCTTTCCCTCTCCTTCACTCCCTCCTCCTTGGCTTTCTCCTTGGGGTTATGGGCTTTCAGTCAACCCCAGTTATAATGGAGGGGAGCCCAAGCGCTCCCGAACCGCCTACACCCGGCAGCAGGTTTTGGAGCTGGAGAAAGAGTTCCACTTTAACCGCTACCTGACCCGGCGTCGCCGCATCGAGATCGCCCACACGCTCTGCTTGTCTGAGCGCCAGGTCAAGATTTGGTTTCAGAACCGAAGGATGAAGTGGAAGAAAGATCATAAACTGCCCAACACTAAGATGCGATCCTCCAACTCCAGCTCGGCTTCAGCAGGCCCGCCAGGAAAACCACAAACTCAGAGCCCGCATCCGCATCCTTACCCCCACCAGGGCTCCTCCGCACTCACTCCTTCCTCTCTGTAATCTTCCAGAGCTCTAGACCAGTTCTGTCCCTCACCTGCTTTTCTCCTCTCTTCTGCCCCCTTTCCCATCCACCTGTCCATATCTGGACTACGACTGACCCCCAAACAAAACTCAATTTTGTGAAAAGATTAATAAAAAGAAGCTGTTTTGCGGGTAAGAAAGCGTGTGAACTGGTTGCCATGGAAGAGAAGGCAATGACCACTGACCAATGACCATCCCACCAGGATGCTGGCTGGTGGGACAACCTGCTGGCCTGGACAAGGCTGCCAGCTTTGGGTACCAGAGAAGGACCACTTGGCATCAAATACTTTTGAGATGGCTGAAGCCAGTCGCACAACTCATGTTGACTGGGGACATGTACATTTGTTGCAAGCAGAAGAAAACAGACCCTTTTCCTACCTTCCTTACCTTCCCCTCCCTCCTTAAGGCAGCTCATAAAAGCTTGTACTGAACTGAATAAATGAGTAGCCACTGTGGACCTAAGATTATTTAATTCTCAAAAATGAATAGACCTTGATGGTAGATGTGACACATGTTAGTTTCCTTTCCTTTCATTTATTTAAAATATTGTTATGGAGATATTGTCTTATTCTGAGGCACAATCTTGGAAGGGAGAGTGCATTTAGTCCCACGTGCAGCTGTACAAATTGTGGTGTGGCTCTGTAGAAAGCCATGTGCTAAGAATAAACTCTGTTTAAAAAACAAAGTTCTAAGACATATTTGTGTGTTTCCTACTTTTAATTAAAGAGAAGTTCTCTGAATTGAAATGGTTGACCTTTCGTGTAAAATTCCTGTAGATGGTTTGGGTTGCATTCACTTGGACTGACTGCTCACATAATTTGTTCAACTTGAGCTGAACTCTTGTCAAGTTTGACCCACTGTGGGAAAAGTTCCAAAGAGCAGGAAAGCTCTTGAGCTCTGAGAGCGCTCCTCTTCTTCCCAAACTTGGCCAGGCTTTCAAGCTTCAAGTCTCTGTAAGGCATAGAAACGTGTCCTTCTCTGCAATGAAAGGTGAAACCGCGCAATGCTGCGGGCCCACGAGTTTCTGCAGCTGTTCTACATGCTGAACTCTGAGCACACTTGGAAAGAAGTGGTCCCTTTGGCATTTATTGCACCTTCACACTTAATCTGCCTGTTTCCCTGGAGATAAAAAATAGTTTGTGCAAAGAGTTGAGATTGCTTTTTCTCTCTTGGATGTTTTTAAGGTTCTCTTCACTAACTGCAGCTTGGGATTTTTGTTTGTTTTTTCGTTTCTTTTTTTTCCAAGCAAGACCTTTAAAAATAAACTGAATTTTTCTGGCACACCCTCCAAAGTTTTTTTGGAGGAAAGAATAATGACACCTTAAGCAAGGTAGATCTGGGAGTATTAAGTGTTGGAAGAAAGCCAAACTCTGAACTAGGGACATCTTCCTTAAATACTCCCAGATCTCACTGTGTAACCTAGAGATCTAGATTCAAAAGGCTGAAATCAAACCCCACTTCTCAATCTTTATAGCCCTAGTATCTGCTTACTGATTTACAAATTTGTAAAGAGGATTTAGACTTGATTGTCACTGAAGGGAGTACTCTCCAACAAGACTGAGAAAACCAACAGCCCCTAGTCCCAGAATATTAGAACTATCACCTGACCTTGAATGAGTATGATTTTTAGTTCATGTAATAATTTTAGCAGAGATGGGAAAGGGGTCTCATCCACCTCTGCAGTATCAAAGGAGTTTTAGTCACATTTTCCCATCAGAGGCTAATTACCCTTAGCCAGTGGTCAGTGCTGTTAGACCTTCCTCCTCAACTGGTCTGTGTGCCACAGGCAAGGGTGATCCGTTTTCTACCTGGGAACAAACCAGATCTTAGAGGAAAGTGGACACCAGTCTCTGAGAGGCCTCCTTCTCTCCCCAGGAAAATTCAGGAGCAAACAAATACATTCCTTCCCAAGTCAGGCCAAACCTGGCATAAAGTGCATTTTATAAGGTGTGAACAGTGAACGGGTGCCAGGGAGCTCTGGAAGCCCTGCAACTACCGCTAAAACTTATTAACCCTCCCCCTACTACATGCACTTGTAAAACGAAATTAAATCATGCTGAAAATAGCAATTTTCCCAGGAATCATTAATCACCTCATACAATAAATACTTCTTTGTAATTCAACAGCAATTCTGAAAGGCATTCTCTGGGAAAAGTCTGTGGAGAAGCGAGGGATCTTCTTGCAAATAATGTGGTCTCGGGCAAAGACTCAGCATCTTGGCTGTCTGCTCAAAAAATGCCTAGACTCTTGGTGGAAATTGAGTGTCGAGCTGCAAAACCTCAATTGGCAGATTATCATCATTTAAGGTAAATTCTTATATTTCTCCTTGGTAGGAAAGGAGGGATACGGGGGCATTCATTAACTTCATAAGGAGGCACTTGTTTGGGGGTGGAAGGAGATTTTCTTAATCTATCCAAGAAAAGAGAGAAGATCAAGATTATTTTTCTAATACTCCCTGACCGAATGTCAGTTTTTGCCCAAGCTGTCTTGATTATTAAGGTATTGGTAAGGTTTACAAAGCCAAAATTACCCACAATGATTATGTCATTTCTTCAAATGATTTACCTGCTTCAGATTTGGTCTTTAAGGGAGCTTGTTATAACAGCTTAGAAAATCCCACTTTGTGTTTCAAAATCCTGCATTGTCTGCCCCTTGCTAGGGCAACCATAAGAGTTCACCCAGAGGACAAATTTTCTATCTCATTAAATGTTTTTTTTTTTTTTTTTTAAGTGAACCCTATGGGCCCCACAAACCCTTGACCTTTAAAGACAGTATTTTGTGTAAGCTCTGTAAGTCTCATACCAAAATGACCCTTAAACATGCTCCCTTCTTCTTTTTCTCTTTCCCCCTCCTTCCCTCTAACACACACGCTCATCAGTTTTAGTCACAGAGCCACACTGTGCATGACTCCTGAGATAAAAGTTTTGTCAACATCTGAAATCAACCTAAATCGGATTGGAGACACTTTAATGGTCACAGTTTGAATTAAGTACTTAACACTATCCCCCCTGAAGAAAAATGGCACTTTGCAGGCTCTCTTTCCTAGTTTTGCTGAAATCTACGATATACCCGGTGTTTTATTACAGCAGGAATTCAACTGTGACAGGCATAGTAGAGTACTTAATACCCAGGATGGAGCTCCTGGGAAGATTACCTAGATATATGGTGAATGGGCCCTCCAGACAGCATCTCTGACTTTATATTCAGCTGTCCCAGGATGCCCACATTCCCCCCACCTCTCAGCTTCCTCCCCTTGGAGTGGGTATCACTCTCCCTCTATCCCTTTCCATTCCCTGAGCTTCCAAACTGTGCTGCTTTTCTCATCACTGCCTGTCCTACCACCCTTTCAACATAGAAACAGGCTCTTTGAAATGGAAAGAAAGAAAACCCCAAAGAATCTATGTAGCAAAGAGAAACCTGGGACTTCCGGTGTGGATGAGTTGGTTCTGTGGGGCAATAGGCTGTTCTTTGTACTTCCTTAGTCTCTGCATCCCCAGCTGCCGTCAGGTATGGAAGAACTCAGTCTCACCTTTCCCAGCAGCTGCTCTTGTTGCCCCTTCTATGTACTGTACATCAGCCCGAGACTAATAATTCTTCCTTTCTCAAAGAGTATGGGCTGGGAAGGAGAAGGAAGAGAGCGTGTTCTGACTTCTTGACAGTAGCAGGGAGGCTGCAGGGGCTGCTGTAAAGCGTTTTAGCCTGAAACTTCAGTCTTGGAACTCTGGCATCTCTTCTTCCGGAGGCTCCAAACTCCAGGAATAACCACTCTCCCTACCCCCACTTTCAGGCCAGCCCTACTCTCTCTGTGATTGATTCCTGGGGCTAAAAGAGATTCCTTGATTGAAAGAATGTCCAAGGTGAAAGAGATCTGGATGCCATTTTGGTTCAGTCTTCTCAGTTTACCAATAAGGAAACTGAGGCAGCTGAATGCTTCCCTTTTATGTTCTTTATGTTAATTCTTATGTAGCTTGAATAGAGTCTGGTCTCATCTTGGATGGGTGAGTATACAGACATCTTGTCTCTGCAGAAGCCTCTTCTGCCTGGAATGGACATGTGCATCTGGGCTTCACTTGAAACTGAGGGGAGGGCCTCAGGTGTCCAGGGCCAGGGAAGAAGGGTGGCTTCTTGCCTGATGAGCCATCAAAGCAGTTGGGGAAATTATGTAACCAAACTGCTGTAACCAGTGTGCTAAGACAGGTGGGTTGACCTCTGGACTCAGGAGGGAACGGATGTCAGGGCATCTGACTGTCCACAATTCTCCTAGTCCTGGAATGACTATTTCTAGTATGCTAGTCCTGAGATTTCTGTAGATGGTGCTGCCTCGGAGCCCGTCAAGGGCGTCTGGGTTCTGGAGGCCTAGGAACTAAAAAAGCCAAACAAGGACCCTGGTTGCAGCAGATAAAGGTGTAGCGCCTGTTCCAGGGAGATATTGAAATTGTAATCTTTGTGGTCACGTGGCTCATTAAATAATTAATGTGGATCGTCAGGAATGGATCGGAGTCGTCAGGGCCTCACTAGGAATGAATCTCAGAAGTGAGTCCCCCAACTTCCTATTTGATTTTTAAAAACACACACCGTCAGATTTATATCCAAAAGCTTTTTAACTGCTGCAGGAGGGGTGGAGAGAGCCCGTCAGCGGGCAGGACCCGGAGCTGGCCGACCCACACTGGGTCGTGGGCTTTTCCCGTAGGGTTTCTGCGAGTCTGGGAGCGCTGCGCGACCAGGGAAACGTGAGTTCGGTTTCGGGATTTCTGCGGTCACGTCTTGGCTTTTGTGATGAAGTGGGACTGATGCTCAGACAGTTGGTAATGTTCTGATTCACACTGGGGAAGGCTGCAGAGATACCACAGGACGGGCGCGCGGCTTTGTTCAATTTTCCCGGTGTTCATAAATCACCCGCGCCCGGCGAGCGAGGGAGCAAGCGAGCGCCAAAAACGCCAGAGAGAGAGGCCGCGGCGGCGGCGGCGGCGGCGGCGGCGGCGGCAGTGGCAGCCATTGCAGGGGAGAGACCTGGGCAGCGTCTCTTTGTGACTCATTAGTCTGAACGATTTATGGTGGAACAGCAGCCATGAATATTTGACTTGGGGATAAGGAAACAGCAACAATAATAATAACCATAATAATTACAATGCTCCTAAGAGTCAGGGGGTGAGTGGGTGGGTGGCGGTGGATGGCGGCATAGTGGATCTTTCTGGGACTGTGTTGAGTGGCAACTGCAGGGTAGCTAAGCCCCACCTTGCTTAGGGTCAGGCCACTGTCCCCAAGGCCAGGGGGCACTCCCTTTGGGGACACAGAGAACAAGTTTGAATAGAGGAAAGGGGCCCAGCATGGATTCGGAGTTCCAAGTGCTTGATGGACACTGGGGGCTCCAGGTCGAGGTGGTGGCAGAGAGCATCTAGGGGCTGGTGTGCAGCCACTTGTTCAGTATATTAGGGATCCATGAAGCCTGAGGGTCAGGGGACTTGTCGGCTATTTGGTAGCCCCTTTTGGCACCCTTAGCAGGATTGCATGGATGCAGGACAGCCACTGGGGCTGATTTGGGCAGGCTGGAGTGTGAGGAGGAGGCTGCCATGACGTGGGTGAAAGGATAGTGGGGCAGGAACAGGGCTATGGAAGCAACTGGACCTCAGAATCCCAGCCCAGCGGAGAATTTCCCTAAGCCAGGGACCCAGCGCCCAGGAGGATTCTTTGCCCCT